AAAAAAAAAAAAAAAAGAGCAGAAGGCATTTTAGGGGCTTGGATTATGGATTATCTCTTTTTTTTTTTTTTTTTCTGTAGAGATAGAGTCTCACTTTATCGCCCTCGGTAGAGTGTTGTGGCATCACACAGCTTACAGCAACCTCTAACTCCTGGGCACAAGCCATTCTCTTGCCTCAGCCTCCTGAGTAGCTGGGACTACAGGTGCCTGCAACAATGCCCAGCTATTGTTTTGTTGCAATTTGGCCGGGGCTGGGTTTGAAACCACCACCCTCAGTATATGGGGCTGGCGCCCTACCCACTGAGCCACAGGCGCTGCCCGGATTATCTCTTTTAAGAGACATATATAAAGGCTGGGTGCAGTGGCTCATGCCTGTAATCCCAGCACTCAAAGAGACCGAGGCAGGTGGATTGCCTGAGCTCACAGGTTTGAGACTAGCCTGAGCCACAGCAAGACCTCATCTCTAAAAATAGCTGGGTTCTGTGGTGGGTACTGTAGTCCCAGCTACTCAGGAGGCTGAAGCAAGAGAATCACTTAAGCCCAAGAGTTTGAGGTTGCTGTGAACTGTGATGGCACAGCACTCTACCGGGGACAACAAAGTGAGACTCTGTTTCAAAAAAAAAAAAAAAAAAGGGAGACAAAGTTAAACCAACCATGTAGATACTTAATAGACATCTCAAACTCAGCATGGCTCAAGTAGTCTACCCCACCTCTAGCTAGCTCTCCTTTGTAGTTTCCAGGTTTAGTAATGGTTTTACCACCCACCCAAATGCATAAAGTTGAAACTTGGGAGTGTTCCTTGACACCAGCTGTTTACCTCCCATACATGTCCTACCAATGTTGTCTCGTGAATATATCAAATTGATGCATTCCATTATCCCCACTACTACTGCTGAAACATCCTAATTGGTTCTTTGTCTTCTGCCTTGCTTCCCTCTATATTTTACTCTACACACTATGGCCATGGTAATCTTTCTAAAGCAAAACATACTGTTTCATCACACTCAGGCTTAAACCTTTCTTTCATTGTCTTCACTTGCTCTTTCCTGAAGTTCAAATGATCTTACCATGGTAGTAGGATCTCTGCTGTGTGCTCTGATACTTCCCCATATCTTGTAATTTACTTTATTCAATAACTATTTGCAGACTACCTACTATAACCCATTATGTGTGGGCACTGCTCTAGGCACAATGTACAGCATCCATTCCCATAAGCTTACATTCCAATGCTTTAAAGAAAATAAATCAGGTAGGGAGGGGGGTGGTGTCTTGGTGTGTACCACACCCTTTGGGGGCAAGATAAAGACTTTAGGCTCGGCGCCTATAGCTCAACCGGCTAAGGCACCAGCCATGTACACCTAAGGTGGCGGGTTCGAATCCCCAGCCCGGACCCGCCAAACAAC